GCAGCCACACGAGCCACAGTGAAGAAGGAATTTGGAGGTGGCCACATCAAGGATGAGCTCTTCGGGACAGTAAAGGTTAGTTGCCCAAGCCAGAATGCAGGATGGGGACCAAAGGGTGAGGGTCACGGAACAACTCAATGCCAGGCTCAGGGTGAAATAGGAGGACTGGAGACTGGGACGCACCATAGTTGATAAAGTGTTTGTCTAGCATGCTTTGATTCCGAGCTCTTAGGATCGGAAGTTCAAGGTCATTGTTGGTTGTGTAGTAAGTTTGAGGCTAGCTTGGGTGCTGCATAAGATTCTCGAATAAAAGAAACGGAAAGATGGGGTGTCCAGGAGCTGCAAGCAGAGAGGCACAGCGGTGGGTTCTGCCTGCCTGCCTGGGGTGTCCATTTATACCTCCGAGCCTGCCCCACAGGACGACCTCTCCTTGGCTGGGTACCAGAAACATCTCTCATCCTGTGCCGCACCTGCCCCCCTGACTTCGGCTGAGAGAGAGCTTCAGCAGATCCGAATCAACGAGGTGGGTGTGCAGGATGGTGTGTGCACTGAGAGCCGCTAAGCTTGATAGGCTGTAACTTGTTGTGGGTAGGTAAGGCTTTGCTTCATGGCTGCCTCACCCCCAGGTGAAGACTGAGATCAGTGTGGAAAGCAAGCACCAGACCCTTCAGGGCCTGGCCTTCCCCCTGCAGCCCGAGGCCCAGCGGGCCCTCCAGCAACTCAAGCAGAAGACAGTCAACTATATCCAGATGGTGAGTACACAGTCGTATAACATGTCTGCTAAACACAGGCTCCTCCTGTTCCTGGTCATGTGTTTGCAAATGGGCACAGAGCCAGAACCCCATCTCCTGAACCGTTCTGCTGACCCATGTTGTTCTCAGACTGGGGGACTTGATCCTCAACAGCAGCACATAGAACTGGGTGTAGTGGGACACACCTGTAATGTCAACCCTCCTCAGGAGGCAGAGGCCCGAGCGTTAGATAGAGCCCAGGATCAGCTTTGGCTACACAGTGAGTTTGAGGTCAACCTAATCTACCTGGTTCAATGCTTTCTCTTTTTTAAAAAAAGAACATACTGTTTTTTCTCTCCTTTTCCTGCCCCTAAGCCCTGACCACAACTGGCACCCTGTTAACACGTGGCCCTATATACCCTTCACAACATAGACACCCAAGGGTTTACACTGGTCCTCAGGGCTGACCCTTGTCCTACCCCAGAGTTCCTCTGTAACCCCCTTGACTACCTCTTTCCCAGGCAGAGTCCTTCTGCCTCCTCGGCCGGATCAGAATGGCTCTCCCTTACAAACACTTTCCTGGGGCTTTGCCTCTGAGGATAGATCCCTGCAGAGATCAAAGTCCTCTATACCACCCCAGATGGGGATGCAGGTGGGAGCCTCATCCTTAGCTAACCCTTCAAAGGGGCAGAGTTGGGGCCAAGCCTGCCTGGAAGGTCTATTTAGAATAGCCCCTGCAGCCTGTGGTCCAGCCTTGGGAAGGGGACTCCAGGGGAAAGGACCCCCTAAACACTCCTGCCTACCTACCAGTCCTGCTTCCTAATGGGTATGGTGGTGCCCTCATACCTCCCTTTCCTCCTCAGAAGCTGGACCTGGAACGGGAGACCATCGAGCTGGTCCACACAGAGCCCACAAGTGTGGCCCAGCTGCCCTCACGGGTCCCCCGAGATGCCGCCCGCTACCACTTCTTCCTGTATAAGCATACCCATGAGGGTGACTCCCTTGAATCTGTGGGTGAGTAACTATGACAGGGACCTCAATTCTGTGTTGGTCAGGAACAGCAATGACAAGCCACTGCTTGGGTCTGCTAAAGGGGTAGAGGTGTGTAGGTGCCCCAGCCATCATGGGCTCACCTCCTCGTCCCCTACAGTGTTCATCTACTCCATGCCGGGGTACAAGTGCAGCATTAAGGAGCGCATGCTCTACTCCAGCTGCAAGAGCCGCCTCCTCGACTCCGTAGAGCAAGACTTCCAGCTGGAGATAGCTAAGAAGGTATAGGCTGTTCCCAGGGCCCATCTCCCCACTCTCCATGTGGGACACTGGAGTCCTAAGTCCGTGTGGGATTCATTGCTACACTATTGGATGGGTGGGGAGCCTAAGATCCGGGACAACCAAAGACACACACAAGCCCAAGCCTTGACCACTTTGTCGCCTCTTTCCCTGGGTCTTGGGGGGCTGGGAGAAGGTGACTCAGGGCAGCAGGGTAACAGCCCTACTTGATATATTCTGTGGGTGACCTTGGAGAAAATATATATCAGGGGTGACCTGACCCTTGGTGTGAGACTTCCCAAGAGTGGTACGTGTTGGGTCCTCAGCATAGTGGTCACTTCTGTCTTGATCCATGCAGATTGAGATTGGAGATGGAGCAGAACTGACAGCCGAGTTCCTCTACGATGAGGTGCATCCCAAGCAGCACGCCTTCAAGCAGGCCTTTGCCAAGCCCAGAGGCCCTGGGGGCAAGCGGGGCCATAAGCGCCTCATCCGGGGCCCCGGTGAGAATGGAGATGACAGCTAGTGTGCCTGGACTGGGAGCAGGGCCAGGCACGTGGACTTCAGGGTTGCCGCCCTATCTCTCCTGCCCCCCCTTCCTCCCCAGCCTGGGCTCTAAGGCATTGCTTCCCGTGGGACAGGAGGGCAGGTGGCTGAACACATTTGCTACTTTCGAGGGCCATTGGACCAGCACTTGGTGACCCTGCCCTGTGGCTGTCCCTTCCTCTCCTCTGTGTGCACAGGGTAGCTGGGGAACCCTACCTGACTCTTTCAAGGGGTCTGAGTCGGGGACCTGGCATGAACCTAGCCTCCAGATCTGATGCTGTGGACCCCGCTCAGTCCAGAAGCCTTTGGCCACAGAGGGTGGGGATGGTTGGCAGGGGCCAGATGTCACAGGAAGGGATGGTTGAACGCTGTATTTTCTAAAGAATAAAATATTTTTAAATCAATACTGTGCCTGATGCTGTGGATTGGGTGCCTGTTTTTGTTTTTGTTTTGTTCTGTTTTTGTTTTGTTTTTCGAGACAGGGTTTCTCTGTGTAGCTTTGGAGCCTATCCTGGCACTCACTCTGTAGACTGGCCTCGAACTCACAGAGATCCACCTGCCTCTACCTCCTGAGTGCTGGAATTAAAGGTGTACGCCACTGCACCTGGCTCCTAAGAAGGCATCATGGTTGATCTCACCGCCCTGAATTAGGGCTCTCTGGCTGGGTTTTCACAGCACTGAGGCTATAATGAGTATTCTAAAGACCTGTATCTTGGAGTCTCCAGTTCTGTGTGCCCTTGACCGGCTTTGCTATTCCCAAGGGATGCAGGACGGTGAGTGGAAGTGGACAACTGACTCTGTGGTCCACGAGGAGTCCCTTGACCCAAGTTTGATGCTCGGCAGAAGCCAGGGGTCAGTCTATGCCTCTGAATAGTGGGTAGATACCTCCTGTCCCAGGAGAAGAGGATGCTAAGTGGACACTGTCCTTTCTCCTGGCTCAGGACATTGTCCCATTTTAGGGACCCTTTCCAACCCCTATTAAAGCCCCTAGGATTATGGACAGAAAAGTTGGGACTCTGGCAAAGACCCAAGGGAGACTCAGCCCAAATACTGGTTCTCAGGCAAGCAAGAAGATAACTCGGTGGCTCTCAAGCTGCCAAGGCAACTAGATGATTGGCACCTTGGGTCCTGCCTGCTATGAGATCCACTCTGATGAGGGCCTGGGCGGAGCCAGGAGACTGATGTAGAACCCTGCCCCTTTCAGGAGAATGGCCATTCTTTCATTCTCTCATTCATTCATTCATTTATTCAAACTTTACTCAAAGGTACTCCAGCTACCAAAGCTGAGTGATGCAAGCAGGGCATAGCTTCATCAGATATTGAACAGTGCCACAGACACAGATGGAAGTTCTTGTCCTCCCGAAGTCAACATATCTGAATTGGGGATGTAGCTCAGTGGTAGAGCACTTGCCCAGCAAGTGCAAGGTCCTGGGTTCAGTCCTCGGCTTTGGGGGAAGGGTGTGAGTCAACATTCCAGCAGGAGTCAGTAACCAGCAAAGCATGAAGGGTAGGTAGCATGGTGTGGTAGTGGTTGAAAAACTGAAAAACATGGGCTGGAGAGATGGCTCAGCAGTAACAAGCACTGGCTGCTCTTCCAGACGACTGGGGTTCAATTCCCAGCACCCACATGGCAGCTCACAACTCTCTGTAATTCCAGTTCCAGGGGATCAGACACCATCTTCTGATCTTAGAAGGTACTGTCTGCACTTGGCACACAAATAGTTATGCAGACAAAAACACCCATACAATAAATTAAATAAATACAACAAGTCATAACAGTGGCAAAAGTACAATTATGAAATAGCAATGAAATGGAAAAAAAAAAATCCCTGAAAGACATTATGCAAAGAGAAAACCAGAAGGCTGCAGTGCTCAGGAGAGCCAGGCCTGGGCCACCAGGTTTGCTTACTTTTGTCTGTATTTCTTTTGAGTCAGGGTCTCACTATGTAGCCCAGGCTTTGAGCCCTGCATCACCCTCATGGTTCTGGAAGAACGAGTGAGTAGCTGAGCTGAGAGGCTCATGAGAAGGTCAGGGAGGCCCTGTGGAAGAGAGGATGATATGAGCAGTGTGTAAAGGCAGAAGACAAACTGGACCATGTGGGGAATCTGGGAAAAAGGAGTGTCCAGGCCAGGCATTGGTGGCGCACACCTTTAATCCCAGCACTCGGGAGGCAGAGGCAGGCGGAACTCAGTGAGTTTGAGGCCAGCCTGGTCTACAGAGCGAGTGCCAGGACAATCGGGACTGTTACACAGAGAAACCCAGTCTCAAAAAAAAAAAAAAAAAAAGTCCCTGAAGCTAGAAAGTGCATAGCTATGTCCAAATAATGAGAAGCCAGTGTGGCTGTCAGCAGGTCAGGGGGAAAATGGAAGGACACGGCATAGGACCTTGGCTACTGTTTGGATAGTGACTAGGGCTCCAGACATCTATGAAGAGATCTGGGCACAGCAGGAACCCAGAATGAAAGTTTTGAACAGAGGGGCTGGAGAGACGGCTCAGTAGTTAAGAGCATTGGCTGCTTTTCCAGAGAACCTGGGTTCAATTCCCAGTATGAACAGCTGTATGTAGTGCCAGTTGCAGATCTGACATGCTCTTCTGACCACCTCAGACACTAGGCGTGCAAGTGGTGCACAGATAGACATACAGGCAACACATACACATGGATGCCCATATATATGTATACCTATATACAAGTATACACACATATATACACTGTATGTGTGTGTGCATATACATATAAATACATAGAGAGAGAAGGAGGGAGAAAGGGAGAGAGAAAGAGAGGTTTGAACAGGGGCTCAATGTGAATCGGCTGCAGGGGACGAGAGCAGGACCAGAGTGATGTCAGAGATGATGTCAACTCAGGCAGGCAAATAGATATGCAGGTTGCAAGCCGTGGGCAGCTTCTAAAGGGACAGTATCAGGGATTAAGGTTTCTCCGGGGTTTCTAGGGCTTTGGGCTTGAAAACTCTGAGTTCCAGGCACCTGGGCCAAAGCAGAGTGTGAAGAGTTGTCTTGTCAGTGTTGTATGGCACTTTCTTCCAAGGGAGGTGGACCGTTCATCCCATCCTTCAGAGGAGATCCTTAAAATTCAGGATGTAAACAACTGAAAAGCTTCAGGAAGTCCCTGATAGAGGTACTAGGCCCTCCCTCCCCAAGCTTGTACTGACAGTGAAGACTGCTGGGAGGAACTCTGCGGGTGGGGCTGCCTGAAAGAAGCAGAAACCAGCTGAGCTGCCGCCTGGAAAATTCACTCTCCAACATTTTGAGCTGGAAGCAAGTTGTTCCATGAGCTCCAGGTTTCCAGCTTTTGTGGCCTCCATGGCCTATGCCGGGTGAGCTTTTGGTGGTGCAACTGTCTTGAAGTCATTTCTGTTCCTTTAAGTAACCCCTCACCCATACTTCTGCCAGTAACTCCAATAAAACTCACTGGCTAACAAACTTGGACTTGAGTGGTATCCTCAGGGTTAGTCTGTCATTGGCTCTCTTTCTTGGGTGAATACATATTTGCATGCATCTCCCCAGGAATAGTGTCACACAACAGCAAGATCAGCCCATTCCGGTTCACCAGCTACTGGAGTCTGGGGTCTGGAGTCTGATGGGGCCCTAGGGGAACTGGAAAGGCAGAGCGGGAGACACTGTTCCTGGAAGAGATGTCAAGACTGCTGCGGTGGGGAAGGCAGATGTTGGCTCCAGCCTCTGGTTCACAGAGGCTCCACAGCGTTTTGGGGATGGAGCAGGTGGGAGAGCCTGTCCTCCGAGTACCATGGGGCAAGCACTGAGGCTTGAAGGTGAGGTGACACCCTCCTCATGGTTGTCAGCACTCTGCCAAACTCTGGTGCTACTTTAGATTCTGGTTTCTCGTTGACCTTGGGCAGGACTCCGGGCTTTAGCCCCTTCCCACACCTCCCAGGGGACAGATGTGAAGCCCTTATGACTGACTGTGGAGTGAGGAAGAAAATGGAAAGAGGAAGGGGTGAAGAGGACTGACTGCCTGCCATCTGACTATGCAAATGTCCTGTGACTCACTGTACCACCTGCCCTCCCCTGGTAAGGATAAAGTATCTATTAAGCTGTAGTGAAAGTGTCACTTCCTCAATTCTGTGAGGCACCCTGGTGGAGCATCGCTCTCTGCTGCCCAGCTCAACAGACAGAGCCTCTGGAGGAGCCTCCATTCCCCAACATGGTAGGACCCCAGTTCTTCACCTCCTGGGAAGGATGATTTTAGCATGGGCAACGGTGGAAAGGGCAATCCACTCGGAGCCCTTGGGACATTCGTGGGCCCCTAAGAAAATTGGAGCGGAGAGGGCTGAGCCTGCTAGGTGGATAGGGAAGCTGAAGCCGTGGACTCCAGTCAGCGGTGGCGCCTGGTGTGGCTCCCCCTCGGCCTTTTGATTCTCAACAGGTTGAACGTTCTCAATTCAGTTTGGGGGAAGCAGATGAAGGTTAAAAAGAGCTAGGAAGTACCAGCAAGGAGACAACCTACACCTCAGGGGGTTCAGTCCACCCTGCACTTTGGCCAAGGAGAAGCCAGGAGGCTAGTGGAGAAAGGCCTCAGGGAGGCTGGAGGAACAGAGAGCCCAGGCAGCTGCTCTGCTTAGCAGAAAAGAGCTGAAAGCCCCAGGGGAGGGGAAGAGAAAGTGCAAGGGGCCCGGTGGGCCTGTTGGAGTCTCTCCTGGCCCTGCTATGGGTTGTGTTCTGAGTGAAAACTCCAAGTCTGGGATCTGGATTCCAGGCCCAGTCCTGGTTCTGTGTCCTAGCCCCGACTCAGTGGCTAAGCCTAAAACCAAGTAGCGGTGGTTCGTGAGTGGGCTGGAAGGAGGCTGGAGGGTGGGGCACTTGGAGAAGATTTGAAGCCCTGAAGAAAGCCCCAGTGAGGAAGAGAGGCAGGAAGGGGCAGGATAACACTAGACACTCACCCGGTCCTGGCTCTCACAGGTTCTCTGTGGCGGGACTCTGCACCCCTTGTCTCTCCTAGTGCAAGCTGCAGTTCTGGCCGGGGCTCTGGCCCTGGGCACCCCGCCTGTCTTCCTGCCCTGTGAGCTGAAGTCCCGCGGCCAGGTAGACTGCAACTGGCTGTTCCTGAAATCTGTGCCTCACTTTTCTGCAGCAGCGCCCCGTTCCAACGTCACCAGCCTTTCCTTGGTCTCCAACCGTATCCACCACCTGCATGACGCCGACTTTGTCTACTTTCCCAATCTCAGGCAACTCAACCTCAAATGGAACTGCCCGCCCCGCGGCCTCAGCCCTATGCATTTCCCCTGCCACATGACCATTGGGCACAACACCTTCCGCGCCATGCGCGCCCTGGAAGACCTGAACCTGAGTTACAATGGCATCACCGCTGTACCCCCGCTGCCCAGCTCCCTAACGAACCTGAGCCTGAGCCACACCAACATCCTGGTACTAGATTCTGACAGCTTTGCTGGCCTGTACAACCTGCGCTTTCTCTTCATGGATGGGAACTGCTACTATAAGAACCCTTGTGGTGGTAGGATGGTGAATGTGACCCCAGGGGCACTCCTGGGCCTGAGCAGGCTCACCCATTTGTCACTCAAGTATAACAACCTCACGAAGGTGCCCCGCCAACTGCCCCCCAGCCTGGAGTACCTACTGGTGTCCTATAACCACATTGACAAGCTGGCGCCTGAAGACCTCGCCAATCTGACTTCCCTTCGGGTACTTGACGTGGGTGGGAACTGTCGCCGCTGCGACCATGCCTTTAACCCCTGTGTAGAATGCAGACCAGAGTCCCTCCAGCTGCACCCTGAGACCTTCCATCACCTGAGCCACCTTGAAGGCCTGGTGCTGAAGGACAATTCTCTCCACACGCTGAACTCCTCCTGGTTCCAAGGGCTAGTCAACCTTTCAGTGCTAGACCTAAGCGAGAACTTTCTCTATGAGTGTATTACCAACACCACGGCCTTTCAGAACCTGACAAGGCTGCGCAAGCTCGACCTGTCTTTCAATTACTGCAAGAAAGTGTCATTTGCCAAGCTCCACCTGGCAAGGTCCTTCGGGAGCCTGGTGTCACTGCAAGAGCTGAACCTGAATGGCATCTTCTTCCGCCTGCTCAACAAGACCACACTCAGGTGGCTGACCCACCTGCGCCACCTCCATACTCTGCATCTCCAGATGAACTTCATCAACCAGGTCCAGCTCAGCATCTTTGGTACCTTCCCAAACCTTCACTTTGTGGACCTGTCAGATAACCGCATCAGTGGCTCTTTGAAAACGTCAGCAACCACCCTCAAAGGGGCAGACGGTGGGGAGCAAGAGAATTTGTGGTCTGGGGTTCTCACCCCAGCCCTACTGAGCACCCCTAAGAACTTCATGGTCAGGTGCAGGAACCTCAACTTTACTTTGGATCTGTCTCGGAACAACCTGGTGGCAATCCAGCCAGAGATGTTTGCCAACCTCTCTCACCTCCAGTGCCTAAGCCTGAGCCACAACTGCATTGCACAGGCTGTCAACGGCTCTCAGTTCCTGCCACTAACCAATCTAAAGGTGCTCGACCTGTCCCATAACAAGCTGGACTTGTACCATGGGCGCTCGTTCACTGAACTCCCACAATTGCAGGCCCTGGACTTGAGCTACAACAACCAACCCTTCAGCATGCAGGGTATTGGCCACAACTTTAGTTTTGTGACCCGTCTGCCCAAACTGCAATACCTCAGCCTGGCACACAATGACATTCACAGCCGTGTGTCCTTACGACTTCACAGCACGTCACTGAAGATCCTGGACTTCAGTGGCAATGTTTTGGGCCTCATGTGGGATGTGGGGGACCTTTACTCAGAATTCTTCCAAGGTCTCAGACACCTGCAGCAGCTGGACCTGTCTCAGAATCACCTGCATACCCTCCTGCCCAAGAACCTCAACAACCTTCCCAAGAGCCTGAGGAATCTGATTCTCAGGGACAATTACCTGTCTTTCTTTAACTGGAGCAGTCTGGCCTTCCTGCCCAAGCTGGAAGTCCTGAACCTGGCAGGAAACCAACTAAAGGCCCTGGCCAACGGCACCCTGCCTAACGGCACCCAACTCCGAAAGCTGGATGTCAGTAGCAATAGTATTGTCTCTGTGGTTCCAGCCTTCTTTGCTCTGGCATTGGAGCTCAAGGAGGTCAACCTCAGCGACAACCTCCTCAAGACAGTGGATCGCTCCTGGTTTGGGCCCATAGTGGTGAACCTGACGATGCTAGACGTGAGAAGCAACCCCCTGCACTGTGCCTGCGGGGCGGCCTTCGTGGACCTCCTGCTGGAGGTGCAGACCAAGGTGCCTGGCCTGCCCAACCAGGTAAGGTGTGGCAGTCCCGGCCAGTTGCAGGGCCGAAGTATCTTCACGCAGGACCTGAGACTGTGCCTGGATGAGGTCCTCTCCTGGGATTGTTTTGGTCTTTCACTGTTGATTGTGGCTGTGGGCATAGCAGTGCCATTACTACAACATCTCTGCGGCTGGGACGTCTGGTACTGCTTCCATCTGTGCCTGGCATGGCTACCTTTGCTGGCCTGGGGCCGGCGCGGCGCCCAAGCCCTTCCCTACGATGCCTTCATAGTGTTCGATAAGGCGCAGAGCGCGGTTGCCGACTGGGTGTATAACGAGCTGCGGGTGCGGTTGGAGGAGCGGCGGGGGGGGCGCGGCCCGCGGCTGTGCCTGGAGGACCGAGATTGGCT